CAGGACAACCCATCAATCCTGGGTTTCTTGAAAAATAAAGCTCTCATAGATATCAATGTAAGTTTCCTCCAATCCTCCTTTCAAAACTCTCCATAGGAACACATAAATTTTTAGATTTTTGAATTTTAATCCTTCCTGATTTCATTTTTTGTGTAAATGTTTATTTAGCAAGATGCACTTGGAAAAAGTATCACTTTTAGACGTCGTTATACCAATGACAACGATGTTTGGGCTGGAGAACTAAGTGACGGAAGCATGGTCGCAAGTAAGTTCCAAATTTCCATGAAGAATTCACAAAACCAAACCCAAAGGGGTGCTTACATGTATTTATACTTACATATATTTATGATATCAATTTAACCAAAACTTACCTTTGACTTCTTCCAATTCTTAAAATCTCCATCAACAGTGTTGATCAACTGGAAAGATGAAGAAAGAGAATTAACATTATCTCTGGCTGATGTTGAGTTGACTTCAGCAAATGGGTTTGATGTGATTTCAGGAAAGGATTTAGGCCCATCCAACACAACGTAAGAGACCAGTTTGAAAACATTTCTTTGAATTTCAGCAAGAACTATGTAATACAAACATTTTTCGTTTTTTGTCAGTTTCTCATCACATGTTGGACGTCATGCAAGTCTCTTAATAAAATTATATAACCCAGTCAAAGCAAAACCAAGAGAATGGGTAAGTATTCCAGTAACACAACAACCAACTTGTCGTCCATTAGGCAAAGCAGTCTTAAGACCAGTCACCGACAAATTGCAAGCCATGACATATTTAGAGCCAGATGGAGTAGGTGCAGTACAATTTGTGAACTTGGAAGGAGGTGATAAAGGTGGTAGACTTTTAGTTGCAATTGATTATATTAACTCTAAATTAGATGATTTCTCTCCAAGTTGGTGTCCAAATTGTCTGATTGCTAAAATCAAAGTCAATGATGCTCCTGAAGTTGAAATTGAATTTCCTATCACTGGATTGGTTAGTAATTCTTGACTCTGTATGAATGAAATCTTTTGAACAAGTTAAGCTAATTTCTCTATTTTATCTCTAGACAAACAATATACCCATGTCATATTTAGTAGAGTTAGATGGTTTTAAAGTAAGTTTCTCCTTCAAATCTTTCTCTCAAAACAGACACATCTAAATTCTCAAAATCTGACATAATTTCTCTTTTTTCATTTAAGCCTGGAAGTGATAATACACTTACATACACCGGTGCACACAAGCAGGCTGCTCCTGATATAACTCAAATATCTTTTTTCTCAGCTTCTGCCCCATCTGGGTATCAGTAGTTTGATTGTATATAGTTTGATGTTTCTCTGCTTATCTTAACCATCTTTCAAGAGCATATACTTTATGACCTGGACATTCATTTTTTTGTTTTGTTTCAATCTTTAAATTTGATTTCCCTACAAATTTATGTTTATTTATTTACAGATAAAAACAAGAAAAATTACATGTCTTCAGCTTCTTAGACAAATATTAATCAGTTTGAGAGTGGATTGCCTAAGAATCTTACTGATGCCACTCATTCATAAGGTATGCCATAGCAGGTGTATTCCAGTCTGAAACAATGGAGAGATTTATCCAAAAGGACTGGATGTCTGTTTGGAAGTCTTGCTATATGCCTATCTAGCAGATGAGTTAATTGAGTTTCCATGATTTGAGTTTTGATTGTGTCTTGAAGCATATTAAGATTCACGGAATGATGTTGTGTGAGAGGATCTGCCTGGCCTATTCTATGATGATTGGTGGCTGTTCCTTGGACAGCTTGGAAGTGACCACACTGGTGTAAGCCAACCATCTCTTTTACCACCATAAACATATCAGTTACCCCACTGTGGACTGCACCATGAATACAGATGCCATCTGATAAGATATGAGCTCACATGCTCTCATGTCTGCTTGTCATACAGAGTTGATGAAACATGCCTGATCCTGGCCAGCTTAGCATGTTGATCCAGAGTTCTATGTAATCACAGAAGAAGGTTGAATCAAGGGATCATGTTGAATTCAAGGGAAGAATGAGTCATCACTGGAGAACGGGTTTTGAACTTCACTGAGATAATTCATGTGTCACAGAATCCTTACTACATTGTTGCTTGAAGAAAACAGATTGAGTGTTTCTCAATTGAAGTGGAAAAAACATTATCAAGAAAATACTTCATGTTGACATTGGTCATGCAGTGATGGATTGAGATTTAAAGGTTGGAGTAAGCATGAACAATGGGGTTCTTAAGTTTTATGATTGATCACAAATCCTGGGGATCTTCAAGCACTCAATTATAAAGAATTAATCAAATTGCACAAGGGCTAAGCTTAACCAAGCCCCTCTTCTAATGTGGGCATGTCCATTCTTGAAGAGGTGCTTAGGGCCAATACCTCAACCTGGCCTGAGACCAGCAAATTTTC